CAAGCTCATAGTCCAGTTAAATGTAGGAAATAGAATGGATTTATGAAATACTCTTCTTGCCATCGGGGGATTTTGTAGGTTTTCTTTTTTTTCTTTTAATGGCAAAATAAGATATACATAAAATAAATAAAAATTCTTGCTAAGGTAGTAGGTGATTAAGTTTTGAAGAAGATAAAGCATCTATTCCAAGCTGGAATGGCAGAAAAAGTTTCATGGAAAAAGCAAGGTTTATGATGTTTCAAAATATTTTATTGCTGAATGTTAGCATATTTGCTTCAGTGTTGATCAGAAAGTAATACATCCTATGCAGTCCTTGTATCTGTTAAGCCAATTAACTGTGTGGCATCAGTAGAAGGAAACATCAGAAGTCACATTTGATTAAAAATTCATTCCTTGCAAAGTGCTTTGCACATAGTAAATAATATAAAAGTTGTTGGTTCAAGAACTTCAGAATGAACAGATTCAAAAATAGAGTTGACGATATATTTTTGCAGGGATTCAAGACCTATTACCATAACTTTTAACTCTTGATTATTAGGACATCTTAACATATTTGATTTATGTTTAAAATGTTTCTTTTCTTGGCCTTATTTGTAAAAGCATCTTCTCCTTTAAAACCTATGAATAGGCTGGGCATGGTAACTCACACCTATAATCCCAGCACTTTGGGAGGCTGAGGCAGGAGGATCACTTGACCCCAGGAGTTTCAGACCAGCCTAGGCAACATAGTGAGACCCCATCTCTACAAAAAAAAAAAAAATCTTTTTTGAGACAGAGTCCTGGTTTGTTGCCGGGGCTAGAGTACAGTGGCATCATCATAGCTCACTACAACCTCAACTCCTGGGCTCAACTGATCCTCTTGCCTCAGGCTCCTGATTAGTTGGGATGACAGGCGTGCGCCACCACCCGGCTAAATTTTTCTATTTTTAATAGGGACGACATCTCACTCTTGCTCAGGTTGGTCTTGAACTCCTGACCTCAAGCAAATCCTCCTGCCTTGGCCTCCCAGGGTGTTAAGATTACAGGTGTGAGCCACCTCACCCAGCCTCTACAAAAAATTTTTAAAAATTAGCTGGACATGGTGATGAACGCTTGTAGTCCTAGCTACTCGGAAGGCTGAGGTGGAAGGATTGCTTGAGCCCAGGAGTTCAAGGTTGCAGTGAGCTGTGATCGCACTATTGCACTTCAGCCTGAGCTATAGAGCAAGAATCTGTCTCTAAAACAAACAAAAAGCCTATGTATAAATTCTACCTTTGGGGAAACCCTAATAGTATCAATTTAAAATGATCGGTAATATAGTATTTGCTATTTTTTTCATGTCTAAACTAAAATCAATTTTAAGTACACTTTTGGAATGTCACAAAATTTAAATGAAGCAGACATTACACTATCATCACGTTAATATTGAACTGTGCTTTATATATAGACTGTTGGCTCAATAAGGGAGAGGACAAAAACTCTAAATAAAAAGTGCCAAATCCTATCCTATCCTGCTGGTGACTTGTTTATGACATTTGTGCTACTTGCTTTAGATGCTGTAATTGAAGTTACCCAAGCCATACAATATTCATAGATTTATTACTAAGACTTAGGATTCAAATCTTGGAAATATAGCAGTTATCTTCTAAACTTTCCTGATACCTTGATATGTGGTTAAAGATTGATATTCTGGTATATGCGTTCTAAAGAAAGCATGAGCTTAAAAAGTTCATTAAAATAAAAGAAAGCATTTTAATCAGAAAACACAAAATGAGATAGCAGGAATATGACCAAATATATCCATTAGCAGAAAAAAAAAATTCTTTATAAAACACAAGCCAAATTAAACCCTAGGTAGTCACTCATTGGGCATTTACTAAGAATCAAAGGTATAAAGGAGGTATGGGACATAGTTACTAATGATGTGTAGGTAAAGTACACCAGGATGATATTGAGGACAATATAGCATCATCACTCAGAATCAGAGCCTTTCACTTGTCCTACTCCTTTCCTACTTTGTTAATAGGAAGTGTTAGGAGTTAAATGACTCGAAGGAATAATTCGTATCAATGCCTTTATCATTGTGCTTTGTGTCCCTACAGGAGATGGAGCAGTCAATGAATATGCTGAATTCCAACCATGAATTGCCTGATGTTTCTGAGTTCATGACAAGACTCTTCTCTTCAAAATCATCTGGCAAATCTAGCAGCGGCAGCAGTAAAGCAGGCAAAAGCGGGGCTGGCAAAAGGAGGTAGTCGGATGGTCCAGAGCTGGCATTTGCACAAACATGGCAACACTGGGTGGCATCCAATTCTTGAGGGAAAACCATGTGAAGCAACTACTGTAAACTTGAGTCATCCTGAAAGTTGATCTCTTACAACTCTTGTATATGTTAACTTTTTAGCACATGTTTTGTACTTGGCACACAAGAAGACCCAGCTTTCATCTTTTGTCTGTATGAGGTCAATATTGATGTCACTGAATTAATTACAGTGTCCTATAGAAAATGACATTAATAAATTATATGAATTACTATACATTATATTAAAATAAGTCTTAATCCAGAGATCAAATTGTCTTGTCATGTTTTTTACTTATATCTTTATTTCCTGACAATTTTCTTCTGTCTTGCGTTATCTGAGGCTTGAAATTAACTTTTCCTGTTTAAAAAGAAGTGGTTGCTATTTGTAGAATAGCTTGCACCATGGTGTTTTTTGTGATCATACCTTTCAAAAATTCTCAGTCCTGCCCTGCCATTTAACATTCCCTGATATTTGAGGTGGAACCACATGTTCCTGATCTAGTTTTAATTTTTTATTATTACAGTTAATTTCAGAGTATAGATATAT